ATGATGAGATTTAAATTGTGTTATAATCTGATCATTATCATAAATCGTATTTACAGACGGATCCCTTGTTAAAATGGGTATTTCTGTTTCGAGAGATATGTTCATCGTGATAATAGAATTTGGATACATTGACATAAAGTCGAGATCGGGAACTGGGTGATTTTTTCATTTTTTTGTGGAACAAGCACCAGACCTCCCTGATATTTTCCCCCATTTCAACTACGCCCTTGCGATTCATCGAAATTAAAATGTTGCAACGAGAAGCAAATCGTTCATATAGATTACGAACCAAACATCCAACTCTATTCATGAAAACATTAGATATTGTGGTACAAGATATTGACGCGAGTTAAAAATAATCTTGTAAAATATTTTGTTTTATCATCAATTCTTGACATCGAAGCGAATCAGTTGCACAGTAATATATGATGTCTGCAGCATAGTGTTCAAGTTGATTTTTTCAGAGACCAAAAAATGATTCATGCATGATTCGTAATCAACATTTTGCAAAGACACCAACTGGGATAAAAAATCCTGAATTTTTGAAAGATCGTCCTTGAATTTTATCGCATTCACGTAGATAAACATTGATTTGAAATCTGATTTAGTGGGAAGATATGGTAAATCAATCTTGCCTTGCAAACCACAATGTATAAGAACATCATTAAGAGTATTTTTAAGCTCAGTTGGAAAAGTTTTTTTAGCCCAGACCAGAAGATCTAAGAATACAGTGCCGGAGATGTAATAATATTCACAGATTATTTTTTTAGTAGGATTAACTTTTATTGAATGATTGTTAATATTAATTCCTGCAAATTTATATTTTCTCATGACCTCGTCCAAATCTCGTTCTTTATATCGAACCTCAGTTTCACGAATATTTATCGGTCATTCCAAGAAGAATATTATTAAATTGTTTCGTTATATTATGTTGTTCCACTTTGATAGTATAAAATTCCAATTGTAACCTCCCGTATTATATCCAAATTCAAAATCGGGTTTAAAATTGTGAAAAATTCTTGCAAAATTCAACAGAAGTGAAATTTCCGAATCACATATTATAAAATAAAAATTAGAAGAGGGACAATCAGAATATTTAGAAAAAAATAGCTGTTGATTGATCGGTAAAGTTGTGATGCAGTAGCGTTGAAATGGAATTTGTTCAAAGATCCAATAAAAATCCATCTGAATCATGTATACGTAAGATGTAGGTTCATAGCCGACAGGAAAAAAACCGGGACCTCGAGTATCTGATGATTCGATATCCCAAGATAACGATAATAAATATGGTAATGATACACGTTCTTTAACCTTTTCTATATCTGATAGGGTTAATCGCATATTATCAATCTCATTTTTGTTGTTTTTGAATTTATACCAGCCGACAAGTTCAAAATCATTTTTATGCACAACCTTTCGATAATAACATGAAAAATCATCCGAATAAATGTTGTATAACTCCCACCAATCATCTTTTTCGATATTATTATCATCATCATCAAGAATGAATTTTAACTTGGAGTCAGTCTTATATTTTATCATTTTTAGAGCATTTTGTCGTTTCGTATGATTCAAAAAATATACATGCATGAAATCAAACTTTGCTCCCGAATCGAATGGCTGAATGAATTTAAGTATTTCATAGTGGCTAGGAAATATTTCTTTATTTGCCAAATCATTGAGATAAAACGTAAAATTGTGTGTGTTATCAAGTTTGATATCAAAAAATGGATAACCAACATCGAAATTGAGATTCAACTTAGTGCCATTTTCATGAACAGCATTGATTAATAATATGTATTTTTTGTTTTTGTGAATGAATCTGTCGCATTGTAGATAAAAAAAATATGATGAATCTGATTGGATAATAGAGTGTTGGCATGTGATATTCATTTTTTTAATAAATTATTGAATATGAGACACACAAATAAATTTTTAGTTGGTGCAAGATGCACTAACTAAATAAATACAGCTGTAAAAGAATAAAAAAAGAATAAAAGAATAAAAAAAAAAATAAAGATTTAATTAAAATGAGATTTTAAAATATTAATATATTCATTTTTATCACAATCAGTTGATATTTTAATATGCTTGGAATAGAGTCTGTCGATATGCTGCTCGTAGAAATCACGAATTTTGTAAAGATATTCGCTATCAACTTTCTCGTAAATGCGCCTCTGTTGGAATCGTATCTTTTGACAATCAATCATCATTTTCTTTTTACAATTAAGATAAAAGATTTTTTCAATATTTTTAATAGGAGAGATACTGTCACGTTTTTCTTTAAAATATTCTAAGATGTTATTATCGGTGATGTTAGCAAGGGCGAAGATTTCTGTGTCGAGGTGTGTACGATCAAGAATTATATAATCGTAATCAGACAATCTGTTAATCTCTTTTACTTTTTTCTTATAGTAATTGAGAATAACATATTGAAAAAATGTAGCATTTTTTTCAACATCCTTATAAAAGAGTTTAAGCTCACGCTCATTATCAAGAGATGCTTCGACATATTGAAGAACCATAAATTTTTGTGATCGAAGATATTCAGCTAATTTATCTGAACATGTGGTTTTGCCGACGGCTATTGGACCAGTAAAAATGATGACCTTTGGCTGTTCTGTTTTAGATTTCTTGTTGGCAACTTGGATTTGTTCCGGATATTTACGTTTTAACCGTCTCAATGTTTCTTGTTCCATATTCAGGTTCAAACTCTTTTTCAACTTGAAGATTTGTTGCGGCATAATCATTTTGAAAATGAAAACATTCTTCTTGTGATGAGAAAGAGTCAGATTTTTTATATTTATTATCATGTAAAATATTTTTTAATTTTTTAATATCGGATTCTAAATTTGCAAAGTAATTTACAATTTTTTTGTTCATGATTAAAAGAGGGTATGTAATTAGAAAACTATTCTGTCAAATTTGACTGAATAGTTAATAAGGAGTATAGCATTTCTTAATTACAATCTTTTTAATATAAACATTCTGACTTTTAACTTCATTATAAACAAAATTATCAGCCATAAAATCAAAAAGTTCTATCTGAGGTTGATAAAAATCTTCGCAAATTTCGGTTTCATTACAAATTTTAATAAATTGTTTAGACAAAGCAATCCATTTGTTCGCCTTATATGTAACAAAATTTTTAGTTTTCATCTTTTTCTCGTTATAGACAATGAATCCAATTGGATTGGAGTAGCGAGAAATTGACGATTCAAAATCTTTTACAATATTGACCGTAATTGGCGATTCAACATTTTTACATTGAATCAAAATAGTATGTTTCTTGTAAGTAGCAATAATATTGATACCCCATCTCCTTAGTTCATTTTTATTTCATTGGCTAAAATCATATTTGCTTCGAGTAATTTTCGAACCGCACTTTCAAATTCATGCCCGAATTTATAATTGGAAATCTGAGATGAATAAAAATAATATTAGCAAAAGATTCCTATTCACCAATGTTTGCAAAAGACCCAAGTTCTTTCAGTTTCTCCCAAATTAATAGAAATATTCATTATTATCTAACTAATAAAGATGAATTCATAATTCGGTATGGCAGCGTAACTTCAGAATTTCATATATGCTAAGTAAAATGACATACATCTTACCTTTTTTTCTGGAGTTTCGAGGATAATATTAGTAGTTGTCATAATTAAATTCTATTCTGTACTATTGTACGGAATAGATTAGATTTTTATTGGATTACATAGCCATTAAGATTTCTGGTTTTTTTATTATGAGCTAGTTTAAAATCTATAGCGAGCTGTTTCACTTGTTCATTTGTTCGTTTCTTGTTAACGTAAAACCATTTATATCTTTGCTTATTATTTTCATTGTAGTAAAACCCCCCAACATTTTTTTGTTTTATGATAAAAAATTCCGTTATACCCAGAAGAATGATTTTTTTGTAACTTGTGATTTAATTGGTTTTCTCTCGGTGTTGTTTCTCTAAGATTGCACTTACGATTGTCGAGTCTGTTGCGATTGATATGATCTGTCATTTTCCATTCTGGATAAATCATTCTATGAATTTTTTTTATTGCTTTTTGTATATTTGTAGAAATATAATAAGTATTTCTATGCTTCCAAGAATACCACGTATAATTTTGAATCAAATTAAAATTATCTAGATTGGTTAAAAATGTTAAATCTGAGTTTGATGCCTTGACCTCTAGATAAAGTTTAAAATTGATCTTGATAAGACAATATTTGTTCAATTTTCGTCTTGAGGGATTTTTGTACTTTTCCCAATCAGTAATGATTTCGAAATTTTTAAATTTTTTTTGCTAGTTAGAAGACATTTACACAAATAAAAGTCTGTTCGGTATGTTGATATACAGAACAAAAAATTAAATAAATTTATTAAAAAAAATAAAATATATATTAATAAATAATGAATTAATGATTCTAAAAAAATTATGCTTCAGAAGAAGAACTGTTGATTGGAGATGTGTTGTCAATTCCGTTAAAAACAACAGGTTCAGGTGATTTTACTTTATAAGAAATTTTTTTAGAGGGAGAAAGTTTACGTTTTTTTCGATTAATATTTCTAAATTTTTTGTTTATAATTTTGATTATAGATTGAAGGAAGAGAGATAGAGTGTTGGTTAATTTATATTTAGAAAGATCCTTCGGATCTACAAAAATCCAATCATCGTGCTTATCAGGTTCAGTTCGAATTGGAATCTGTTCATCAATATAGGTATAATATACAGTGCAACGACATAGACATTCTTTTCCATCCAGAAAAACTCTAAACCTTTCATTTATTCCAACATAAAATAATTCTTTAATTGTTATTCCGGTTTCTTCCTTCATTTCACGTATCGCATATTCATCATATGTTTCATCTCTTTCTTTTTTTCCAGTTGGTATGTGATAATAATCAAAATAATCTTTATTAGGATTAATTCTTTTGCTGATGAGAATTTGCTTTTTTGAAGTTATTGGAACAATCAAAGAAAATTCTCTATTGTCGATCTCATGAGTGGTAATCATTTCTTTATATTTTTTTTCAAATTTGATTGAATAACAAGTTGAGTTTCGATTGCATTTTTCGTTTCTCTAACAGGAATACCATATTTTTCCACTAAAGTAAGATGAGATAAAGTTGCAAGATATTTTTCTTCAAGATCACAAGTGAGCGAATAATTGCTAAGAAGTAATCTATATTCTGCTTCCATTTTTTTTAAAAAAAAGATGAACAGAAAATTTTTTGTTCAGTATATTTATACTGAACAGAATAAAAAAATAATGATATACAAAAAAAAAAAATAAAAATAATTAAATATTTAAATAATAAATTCGATATCACTGTCATCCATTTGCAATTCGTTGTCAGACCAAAAGATATTTTCATTTTCTACTGTTTCAGATTGAGATGATATATTTTGCAGAATATTTTTTAATCACATCATCAAAAATTCCTTTGTTTTTAGAGATTCTTCAGTTATTCATTAGATTCGGAATCAAAATCATCATTGATAGATTTTTTATAGCGTTTGCAAAAATTTATCTTTTGAAAATGATTACAGTATGGACAATAATATAGAACAGGTGCGGAAGATGATCTGACATAGAGACGCGTATCGGAGTAATTTATCTGATTTTTTATACGTAAACTTTTACGAATTAAAATGGGTTTATTTTTTATTGTGATTTGTGTTGTGAAGAAATTAGATTGATATTGTGGATGTTTTATCTGGTGAAGATTGTTTCGAATTTGCTTCATTTTGTTTTTATATAGTTAAATTTCTGATTGGTACAGATGTACTAATCAGAATG